AATGAAAGGAATATAGAAAGTTTATGGTAACCATGCTTGGTTTCTGCGTTTGGATGTCTGCTTATGGTTGGTTTCTTTTCTGAACAAATACCTTTTTCTTTTCTTCTTTAGATCAAAGACCTCTTAAAGCCAGAAATAATGGAGGAAGTAGTTATGGAAACGCGTCAGAGGCTTTTAGAACAGGAGGGGTGAGGAGAGACATCTGAAGGACGGGACGGTGTGCACCTGACCGGAGCCGTTCTTGAAAGTGAAGAATCTGATTTGTGGTCCCATGTGTGTCTCCGTGGAGAACTGACACTCGTCACCTGACCTATATCGGGCTACCTCTGGCCCAGAGACCTGCGTTCTCCTGTTGGAGGGCAGAGCCTGGGGAAGTGCTGCTGGCGCCTCTGGTTGCCCGCAGAGACCGTGCTACGGGTAGTTTCAGGCCTTTGGTTTTTTTAATTTTTATTATTATTATCTTTCTTTTTTTTTAAGTTTCAAGACTTCAGAAGCACACAGTGTTTCAGCCAAGTGGACTCCCGTTCTGGAATAATATGGACAATCTTTTTCTTCCACTCACCATCAATTCACAATTTCACATGAAATTGCCCTTATAAAAAACACAGCCTCCCTGACCCGCAAATTGCCTGTTTTGGCCTCTGTTCCCACTTATGCAGCGCAAGTAGGATATTGAAGAATATAGTTAGTAACTTTTTTTTTTGAGAGAGAGGGAGCGTGCTTGCGCAGGGGTGGGGGAGCGTGGATCCTAAGCAGGCTCCACACCCAGCACAGAGCCAATGCAGGGCCCAGTCTCATGACATTGAGATCATGATCTGAGCTGAAACCAAGAGCCTGAACGCTTAACCCACTGAGCCACCCAGGCGCCTGTATAGTTAATAACATTAACCCAACAGTCAAATGGAAGAATAAAGTTAACCAAGCAGCCTTTGCTTGGTTGGAATCTTATTTCCCACTGCATGTTCCTTCTAGCGGTAAATGCGAGTGTCTACACCAGGCTGCTATAATCTGTCCTGCCTTTAAGGGTGATTTGTCAGAAGCGGACTTAGTGATAACAGAATGAATGTTCAGGGTGCTTCCGAGGAACACGAAAACAATAAGAGAAATGCACATGGGTAAAGAAAAGCTGTTTTCCTCCTGTCAAGTAGTAATGCATTAACTTTAGAATAATTCAGGGTTGGGACACCTGCGTGGCTCAGTCGTTAAGCGTCTGCCGTCGGCTCAGGTCGAGTCCCACATCGGGCTCCTTGGTCAGTGAGAAGCCTGCTTCTCCCACTCCCGCTGCTGCTCCCCCCTCTCCCGCTGCTGCTCCCCCTGCTTGTGCTCTCTCTCTCTGACAAATAAATAAAAATCTTTAAAAAAAATAAGTAAATAATTTAGGGTTAAAAACAGGAGATTGAAGTTCTCACTGAGGAATGCTAGAATTCCCATGCATTGGTTTTCCTAATGACTGTCTAAAAATGGTACTCTGATTCAGGTTTGGGGAAGCATTTTTTTAAAGGCAGTCTATGAAGTGCTATCTTATTTCACAATACGTGAACTATTTTTTATATATTTATAAATGTGGCTTTAACATCCCTGTTTCTGTCCCCGTGTCCTGTGTAATACTTGGGAGCAGAGTACAGTTGAAGGAGGGCTTAGCAGATATAAAATCTGATGGAGGCTTTAACTGCTCTCTGCCGGGTCATCTAGTAAAATGTAAACCTTGGACAGTTTCAGTGGTAGTGACTTTGAACACTGCATTTGACAGTTTTGAAATACAGCTTGGCTCTTCACTACTGGTATATTTCCTGTCCTTACAACATTACTCAAGAGGTATCTTACAGACAGCCGAATATTCCATAGGCTGTGGTGCAACTTTAGATTTGCTCACTTGGCATGTTTTTGGAGCACACGCTAAGGCCGGATGAGAGCAGGGAGTGCAGAGGGTGGAAGCCGAAGTCCCTGATTTGGTTTAGTTGACTGGGATCATTTGTAAGCTCTCTGAAAGTTTGTTCTTGCTTGGTCTGGTCTCCCAGGCTGCCAGCCTTCTGCTGCTCATTCAGTATGTCCTGAATGGCAATCACCTGCCCAAGGGGAATGATCCAAAGAACAGTCTGAAAGCACCTCTTGGGGATGATCTCTCCATGGCCCACTAGAGGGCGCTCTTGTCGAGTGTTAATTCCAGTGGGTGTTCTCAAAAAATGGAGTAAGGGGAAATTATTACGCTGGTGCTGAATCCCTGTAGCAACTTGTGATTGCTTTGCTCTATAAAAGTGAGGACAAAGTTAGACTGAATGAGAATATGTGAACCTAAAGGGATTTATTCAACATTTGGTAACGCTGATTTCTGACCGTCAGGCATTTGCTGAGCTCTGCATTTTAGTTTTTAAGTCCTCAAAGGTATCCTTCTACAGTGTTATACAGGAAGTAAAAGAGTATAGTGCATCTCTAGAAAATACTGTAGTCTAGGCTTGGGGTTCACCTATAATAGGATGGTGAGTGGAAAGTGGAGATTGGGGATGCACCTTTAGATCAGGTGCAGGTGGCCTCTCCACTGTCCCCTAAAGCATCATCTCAGTCTGCAGAAGACCAAACAAGACCTAGTTTGATAGTTAGCAGATAGGACCTCCACTTAGAAATGAAGAAAGTGGTTCAGAGAAAGTGACTTGATTAAGCTCCTACTGAGCTTAGCTATGAATCAGGAGTAGGCTTAAGCATTAGAGAGGTATCCTATAGCAACCCTTTAGAGAATGGGTTGGACTATTGGTGAAAGAATGTGGGTCCAGAAATTTTATTTCCAGCATTGAGACCAGTCCTTTGGGTTGTTACCATTTTGCTCATCGCTTCTCCCTCTATGTATGCTCCTTTTTATTTATTTATTTATTTATTTATTTGAGACAGAGAGAATGAGAGACAGAGAGCATGAGAGGGAGGAGGGTCAGAGGGAGAAGCAGACTCCCTGCCGAGCAGGGAGCCCGATGCGGGACTCGATCCCGGGACTCCAGGATCATGACCTGAGCCGAAGGCAGTCGCTTAACCAACTGAGCCACCCAGGCGCCCTATGTATGCTCCTCAGGACAGGGATGAGTGTCTCCCCACCCCCTGTTGTATACCAGCACCTAGGGCAGCACTCAGCACACTGGCTTGATGAATGTTGAATTAGTTGTAGAAATGCATATTAGAGTTCTGATCCAATTGCCTAATTTTAAGCTAAACTAGAGAACTATGATGTGCAGGAAATGATTAAAGCATGAATAGAAAGACACCAACATCTCCAAGAAAAATGAGGACAAGATCATGTGTGAATAAAGGGGAACAAGGGTGTTGAACGTTTGAAGAGTGAAGTGTATCATTCGTATCAAGTCAGGCCTGAGTTTGCCAGCCAAGTTAGTTTGTGAGAGAGCAAAGCTAAGCCAACTAACATCTGAATTTGTAAGTTTGAGTTCTAAATTTGGGTACAAGTTTTCATATCCTTCACATTCAGTACCTCCACATGACTATTCTTGAAGCTGCTATCTACAAAATCACTACCATTTCCCCATCCAGCAGAAATATTCCTAAAATATGTAACAATATAACTGGATTACAACACCTGTAACGAGCCATGGTTGTGGTTCTTCTGAAAAATGAGTTGTCCAACGTGGCTGAAAAATCAGTGGTCTAACATGGTCAACAGTTACACTGAACATGCAGTGGAAAAGCATGGGCTTTGCAGCAAGATCAATCTGGGCTCAAGTGGTGACTTTGTCACATACTAACTAGGCAAGTGACCTTGATTAAGTCACCTCTCTGAATCTTTCCTCAGCTGTATAATGGGGAATAATATTACACGCCTCACTGGGCTACAGTGAGGATTAAATTAGATAATGTAGCTTATGAAAAGCAACACAGTTAAGTAGTGTAGAGCAGGCGCTGGGATGAGTGGATCTCTTTAGAAATGGGTATATCCCAGTCAGGTGCACTGCCCTGGGGATACACAGAGGGTGAAGACAAAGGGGCCGGGCTGCTTTTTAGTTGCAGGAGATGGGTCACAAGTGTGGGTTTGGTGTGTCTGGATCATTGGTTAGGCCTGCTAACCCAACAATCTGCATTTTCTCGGCTAACAAGATGTTTTCATGCGAATGCATGTATATCTGTGTAATGAGGTCGTTTCCTCTTAAAGGCTCTTTCTAGCTCAGACATCTATGATTGCGCCAGGCCTAATTAGCCTCTGAGGGGTGCTTTACACATGCTGTTTCTTTAATGAGTGAGCCTCCGGATAACCCAAAGAAACAATGAATTCGTTAGCAATATGTCAGATGCTTTCCAGTCATTTATTTTTCGCTAGTTCTAATATTTATGCTTCTTGGGGAAAAGGTGAGAATTTGGGGAGGGAGGATAAGGCACCAAATACCTTGGTTTCCAGAAGCGAGCCAAATTTTCTTCCCCGAAGAGGCTTAAGGAAGTAATCCAACTCCGGTTCTGAGACAATCCAATCCGCAGTTTCCGCCTGGCTTTGGCTCCTCGCCGGGCTCACTCCCCGCGCAGGAGAGACATTGGCCAGCCCTACGCGAGGCCGGCGAGAGTCCACCGTCTCCCAGGAGGGCGGGACCGAAGCTCAGGAGCTGGGAGCAGAGGGCAAGAAGTCTGGGGTTCGCGCGTGCAGGGGTGGGCGCCGCGGGACTACAACTCCCGGCATGCCCTGCGGCTTGCGCCGAATGCGGTTGGCTGGGAACTCCAGCCTCGCTGCCTTCACTGGCCAATGGGACGCAGGAGAGAGACCTGACCCGGATTCTCAGGGACCAATGGCCGTACAGGGGAGGCGGGGGCTTCCTTACCACTCACCTTGCGCTCGGAAAAAACCACATTTAAAAGGGCGTGCGGGGCCAAGTTCCGGCGGGCAGAGAGACCAGAGGCAGAGGGCGCGGCGGCGTCCCCGAGAGCGGCGCCGGGAGGGCCCGGGTCCCCGCGAGGCGCGCGCCGGACGTCGCCGGGGGCGGGGTCAGGGGCGGGGCCTGGCCTCGTTGTGGAGCGGCTCCTAATCCATCATGGCGGCCGCGGGGGTCGGTGTCGGTCCCTGAGCAGCGCTGGAGCCGGAGCCGGTTCCCGGGTCCTGCGGCTGAGGAGCCCCTCCACTGTCCACGGCCCCCACCTGCGGGGGGAGGCTGGGTCTCGCGGCGGAGTTCCGGGGATGTGACTGCCTGGCGGCGGCGGCTGTAACAACGTCCGGAGCCGGGGGAGAGGTTGTCTCGGGCAGAGACCCCTGGGCTCGGGGCAGCTGAGGCGGCCGGGCCTCCTCTCCTCTCCGCCCGCCTCCCGCCTTCCCGGGCCGCGAGGGTCCTTCGTCCCGTACAGCCCTGCCCCGGCTCTGGGACACTGGGGGTGGTCTCTGTTTCCCCCAGACCTGGGACACCCCGTTTCCTGAGGCGTGGAGGAGCGACGCCCCCGAGTAAGCCGCCCGTGCCCCGCCCCGGCAGCCTCCCCCGTACCCCCCGGTCCGCCCCTCGCTCCCTCTCCCGGCCTCCAGTTTGGCCACGGAGCCCCCCCATTCATATTCCCTCCCTGCTGTCAAGTGGCCTCCCCTTTCCCCCAGGTTGCTCCCGAGAGCCTCCAATGCCCTGACTTCTTCCAATGTCACCTACGGTCCCCTTAGTCTCAGCCCAAACAAAAACTTTAATGCAAAGGAAAAGTCTGGACTGGTTTCACAGGCCTTTTAAAAAGCGGACTTAAAAGTTGCTGGCAGTGCATTCCTTCTCGTCAGAGTCGAGGGCAAGCTCTCGCTGAAGTCTGGGTGACCCGTGTCCTTTTCCGGAGCGCACGGTAGAGAAGCAGGAGCGGCAGCTAGTTGGGCAGGAAATTTGTCGGAAGATGAAGAAACTAAGGGGGTGGGTGACTTCCACAGGAAAAGTTCTGGAGAAGCGTCCAGAGACGATCAACATTTCCTTTATGTTGTGGGAATCGAAATGACTTTAGTGTTACTGACCCTTTGACAGCATCCCTGTGAATGTTTGTTTTTCTTCTTGAAAAGACAGAAACTTACTCAGCCAGTAAAAGACACTTAAACTCAAGAAACTTTTGGGTAGCACTGCAATTACATTACTTCAAATTGATAAACTGCAGAAGTAATCGGAACTCCTGTTTACATATGTCAACCTAAAAACTCTGCTTCCTTTTTTTACGGAAGATGTCTTTTTGTGATTGACCTCAATTACTGACTTGTGGAGATTCGGTGAATGTGAAATCCCAAATATATACTGTTTCTTTTTAAGCCCACTGACCATTCTGGAAGATCTTGAACCCTTTTCTGGAAAGGGGTGCCTATTATTACTTTATGGGGCAGCAGCCTGGAAAAGTTCTTGGGGACCAGAGAAGGCCAAGTTTGCCTGCCCTGCACTTTATCAAAGGAGCAGGGAAGAAGGAATCATCGAGGCATGGGGGTCCACACTGCAATGTTTTTGTGGAACATGGTGAGTGCTGTTCAAGCTTTCTGGTCCTATTTTTCCTCATGTATCAGCTTAGGGATGCATAAGGGACTTTTGAACAACAGTGTTTGTGTCCAGCTGTACTTAAAACTTGTGTTACTATAGTTTTCTCTTAGTTTGTGGTGGAACTTTCTTTGTATAAGAAGAAGTTACTTGGGGACTCTGGATGGCTTTATTCAAAATCTCTTTGAGTTGTTTATTTCTTGCCTAATTCCCCTTCTAACTCACTGTTGACCTTAGATAAGCCATTTTACTCTTCCAGTTTCCTGAGGAGATTGGACTTAAGTGGTTTCTCAGGATCAGAGTCCATGATCCTGCTCTAAACCTTAGGCTTGGGCTATACCCGAGGTACATGGATCCTTTACTGCTTTATCCACAGGGAGCTTTTATCGTATCCTCAAGAGTGCTTGTGTTGCCCAAAAGGTTAAGAACCACAGATCCTAGTTGACACTAATATCCTTGACCTTTTCAGTCATAAGTAGGACCTGAAAATACGCACTTTGGAGCTACGTGGGAAAAATTGAGTGGGGAAGCGGTGTCCCTTGTGAATTGAGGATACCCCCCTCTTCTGGTTATTTTACCTTACACAGGAGTAATCGTTTCCCCAGGGATGGACGGAGTTTTATCCTCCTCTCTCCCTATTTTGGATGACATTTGGGGCAAGAAAGGTTGTCTTTGACATTTTTATGAATATAGTTGGCATTTGATTGCAGACAGTATGTGTTATACCATATACTTCCCATAATTCTATGTGTAGTTTTAAAGCTAAGGGTCAGCTTAGACAGATGTTCGTATCAGGGGCCAGCCGTGAGCCAGTTAATTAGGGGCCTGTTTGTACTGTTGTAGCCTCACATTTTTCAAACTGTGTACTTTATATTGAAATATCGGTCCCACCCACTCTATAAGCAAATGTGAGATGAGTGCAGGTGGCATATACTTTGAAATTCGATCTCAAATGCCTTTTAACAGTGGGTGACCACAATAAACAAAGGTCTCTGTTGCATGAACTTGCACTTGACTGTGGAGGTTTTACTTTCTTATAGAAAAATACCTCATCTAAATGATTTGAGTACTCGAATTGTATTTTTCCTTGAAATATTAGTTACATTTTAGCCCTGGTTTTAGACAGGCAAAAATGGAAATTTGTTACATTATGGTGCTTTCCCAATTCAGGATTTATAAAGTGATTTATTTATGTTTTTGACTAGTGATGATCATGCAGCCTTAGATAATGAAAATTGGTACATATTTTTTGGAGAGCTTTGGCCAAAGTTATCAGAATTTAAAATGCATATACCAATAACCCGGTAATCTCACATCCAGGAAGCTCTTCTCGTACAGAACAGTATAGTCCCTTAGGTGTCCCTGATACCCTTTCAGAGAGTTGAGGTTAAAACTGTTTTCATATTAATGCAATACTTAGATGTTATTTGCACTCTTTGCACGGATGGTGAATGGTGCGGAGGTCATGCAGGCTCCTGAGCACGAATCGAGGCGGTAGCACTACACCTCACTCTACTAGTAGCCAGTGTGTTCTTTGTGCTCGTGATAAATACATTGTGCCATGCACTCATAAATAAATAAATACATACAATAAAAATTCGTTTTTCACTTAAAGAATGTCCTTGATGAGGGCGCCTGGGTGGCTCAGTTGGTTGAGCAACTGCCTTCGGCTCAGGTCATGATCCTGGAGTCCTGGGATCGAGTCCCGCATCGGGCTCCCTGCTCGGCAGGGAGCGTGCTTCTCCCTCTGACCCTCCCCCCTCTCATGTGCTCTCTGTCTCAAATAAATAAAATCTTTAAAAAAAAAAAAAAAAAAGAATTCTTGATGAAGCAGGAAAGATTAATTTTATGAACCATTGGCCCTTGCGTATACTTTTTTTTGGTACGCTGTAGGTTGAAATGAGAAGTACACGTAAAGCACTTCTGCTGTGCACTGAGGGATATCGGTTATCTCCAAGAGAAGCAGATGGGCAGTTGTTTGAGTTGCAAGCTGTACTAGCTGCTTTTTTCATGGAACTACCATTTTTCAACTACCACTGACAAACAATGGTTATTCAGGCTAAAAAGAGTATAAAGGAGTCTTTCAAGGAAAACAACTGGTAGTATATGTTGCCAGTGATAAAATTTTAGCTTTCCAATGAAAATTAGGATTTTGGAAAACTTGTATCTGCTATTGTGATGTAGAGATTGGTGGTGATATTTTACAAATGTGATGTTTTGATATAATGAAATGTATTATTCAGAAAATCTACATAATTCAGTGAGCCAGTATTTTCTAAGTGATCAGTACGTGATATTATAAAATCACACACAGGTAAAAGATCCATCCAAGGTGCAAGATGGACCA